TTACTATTTTGTGGAATAAACATTACTATTAAACATTATAAACATTAACTATAAACTTATCACATCACTTCTTTATCATAGAAACGGAAGTACAATTTAGGTCTATTTCACTCTGATACTCCTTATACAGTGTTATTGCTCGTGATAAGAAACAATATAGCCTCAAATTTGTGCGACATCTTGGCCTATTACTCCCAGGTCTCGGCAATCGTCGCGGGGTAAGGAAGTCTATTTTAGATATATATACACAATCAAAATTGGTTAAAATGACTACTGAATCACAAGGCTGATTATCCGATAATAAATTATAAGAAATTTTTACCGTGGTGTCCTAATAGCATAACCTACCACCTCTCAAACAGAGGCCGAGGGTTGGAATCCGAGCTCTCACCTCTGAGTTTTTTCGAATTTATGTGCGAAGTTTAATTTGAAGTTCACCATGAGCTTTTCGGCGAAAGAAAACATCCTAATGAAATCTGCCCGTCGAAGAAGGATTCACAACCCTCGGAAAACATTATACAGCATTAGGCCCTCGTTTGTCATGATAATGATAGAATTTGATGTGGTTTTTTTTTTTATTCCAGGGTGGTTTGGTTATTACAGTAAATGCTATATTCACCTCAGTCTGCGGGTCCACGATGCTTTCCAATACCGTCGCTGTCACTGCCGCACACTGCTGGTGGGACGGAAGGAACCAGGGTACTCGGCTCACAGTTGTTTATGGATCCATTACTCTCTTCAGTGGAGGTACCAGGGTTGACAGCAATAGCGTGAGTTTGGTTGTTGAACTATATTTACTAGTAACACAACGGTAATAATAACGCACACACTCAACATAGACCCGCACTAGAGAAACCCTGTGTGATGGACACACACATAGACAACCACAAATTACACCCAAACTCTCGAGAAATAAATGTAGGCCATACAAATATTTCTCCCGGCCCGGGAATCCAACCTGGGACCTCTGCGTGGCAGTCCGGCATGGTAACCGTTCCGCCACAGACGCAGTTAAACTGTATATTGAAAATCATATTATTTATCATTGGAAGAGGACGGCCACAAAAAACATTCTCTAAACAAATTATTCTTAAAAAAGCTGGAGTGCGTAGTAACCAGAATAAGAAATGTACGCAAAGATTGATTAATGTAAGTGACGCAAGAGAGGTTTGTAAAGATAGTGCTAAGTAGCGATCGCCTACCCCAATAGGAATCTGAGGGTGTGGATATAAATAAATATAAATAAATAATATTTTACAGCCATGATATCGCGATTTTGTCCTCTCGTGCAGGTGGTAATGCATTACGGTTTTGACCCCAACATGATAGAGAATGACGTAGCCATCATCAGGCACGGTCACGTGGGATACACCAGTAAGTTATTTTTAACACTCGACGCATAATTGGGGAGTTACAAGTTAGTCTCTATGTATTTATGTGTGTGTATAGTTGTAACTTTTTTATAAAAAAAAGCCGACCTCAAAAGTTCGTAGAATTTCACCTATTTGCTAAGTTTTATTGAAAACGGTTACTGAAAAGCGCGCGTAACCGGATTCATCTCGTAATTTACCACCCTTAGAGGTGGAATATTTTCTTCAAATTTAAATGGGTCCAATGAGGTACGTTACAACTAACAAATAAAAAACTAAATCTGTTCATAAATCAATTCATAAATTTTTTAACCGACTTTATAAAAAGAAGGAGGTTCTCAATTCGACTGTATGTTACGCGATAACTCCGGTATTCGTGAACCGATTTTCATGATTATTTTTTGTTGGAAAGAGGGTACCTCCGTAGTGGTCCCAATTAATTTTGAAGAAAATCATTCACCTCTAAGGGTGGCTGTTCACGCATGAAGATTCATTTTTGTAAATAGCGCCTAAATTTTATTATAAGGAGCAATTATTTTAATGGTTTATGTTGCTATTCTCCAATTCAAGGCGTTTTTCTCTCGATATACATTGAGTAGTGAGAACCAATTTTTATTGTCTCCCGTGTCAAGTCCCGTATAGTGGCGAACTTGTGGATGAATATGGGTTGGCGTACTTTCCGGTAACTGATTTTGAATAAAACTTGGTAATTATATGTAATTCCACGTACTTTTGAGGTCGGTTTTTTTAGTACTCTATTCTATATTCTGAGATTATTAAGTATACGTATTCCGCGTATTCACATTCGTACGTCGCAAACATTCTGCGACGTACGTGTCGAATATAATAATGTATTCAGGGTGTAACCTGGGTTCCCTACCTTTCCCTAATAAGGGTGAAAATAAAAG